AGAAAAAGAAACAATTTGTGAACCTTCACTCTGTGCAGCATAAAGTGAAGAGGACTTATTTTATGTAACTTGGGAAAATCAGACTGTTGGTTTTTAACCTCAGATGTTTAGTGGGTTGATGTAAGCCCGTCAACATCCCCAATACATACTTCTAAATCTTTGATTTCTGTTATCTATCTTCAGCAGCAAACAAAATAGAGGAAAAAAGAAAAATATCTCAATATAACATTCCCTCTCTTAACATAAACTCCTTTGTGCATCTGTGTGTTCTGGTTCATGTACCCAGATGCCACCTGTTGCTCTGATTCAGAAGCAATTGACGTATCCTCATACTTTTCTAAAAACATTGTTGACAGTTACATAACATAAACCCACAGGATCTGGATATGGCTGTTGGTAGCCATGAGAATACAGTCATCATTCTCTTGCATCCTTGTCCATTTGCCCTGGTTTCTTTTATCAGCTGTGCATTTTTACTGTACTGCTGGTATCATATTTCTGGCAGATCATTAAGACTTGTAAAATGGAAGGAAATGGGAATAGGGTCTTAAATAATTATATCCCAGAAACTGTGTGTTTACATGGATATGATTATATGAGGATGTTTTAGTTCCTCTTAAATTCAAATAAGAAAGGGCCAAAGGCTTTTGACATAACAATTCTTATCCTTTTTCCTGGCAGTGTTTACAAAAACATGTCATTAAGAATTAGCTTTATTCTTTTATCATTGGCAAAAACAAACAAACAAACAAATAAACAAAAAACCATTAAAACTCAAGGGTCTCCATGGTCATATAGAACATCAACGATCTTTTGTCCTCTTCAATACATTGAGCTTTTTTAATTCTAAGCATGCACTTTTATTGCACACAGTGCATCACAGACAGGCAGCTTTTAGCTTTTTTAGCTTTGTTCTGATTATAAGCAAACACATTTGGAGAAAGCAATATTGTGAGATCTTTAAGCCAATATGAAAGAGCAACAATCAAAGTAGTTCAATTCTTGTTCCTAGGGATGCTTAGATTCATCTGTCTGGCTGAGTGGGAATGTGGACTTAGTAAACCAGAATAGATAATGCAGATGTACCAATATAAAAACTCTTCTAGGGGCCAGCAATATTCAAGAACCCAAATCCTTGAAAATGTTTACCGTGAACTTATGAGTGAGAGAATAACTTTTTATTTGTAAGATTTATATTTACAAACTGAATTTCAATTTCCTACCACAGTAAAAATGAAACATCATCTATTTAATGATTGCTTATTTTGTGCCATATTTTGTGCTCACCATGAGAGATACACAAATGAAAATACATGAAAAATTATAAACTCTTGTAGATATAAAAAAATAGTGTAATTTAAAAATATCAAAGTAATTGCATTGATAGTCAGATATTGGTGGCCTAATGACAAGGGGACTGGGAGATTTTTGAAGCAGCTTTAAGCCTGAGGGGCAGGTCAAATTTGGTGAGGTTGAGACGCTTCATATTTCTGTGTTTTAGACACTAAGGGATTAGGGAGTAAAAGGAAGTAGATTTCCATAATGAGGTTGCTTAAGTTTCCATGTGTTATTATGTTAATGAGTTGACAATCCAGATCCATGGAGGAAACTGGTTGAAGAAGGGACAAAAAAATGTCTTCAAGGCAACAACATATACAAGGACTTGAAGATTATAAGCAAACTGCATAGGCTATATTATGGAATTTGGAAATGTTTAGTTTCTAATAACATTTTTAAGGTGATGAATGGTATAGTCCTCTTACAAGTTATAACGCCTTTTCCATCAATAGGGTGGTGTGCAATTTAGAGAGAAGTAGATGCTCCAATTCAGAGGTTCTAACAATAGTAGAGATGGTGAGAGTTTATAGTAAAACAGTAGTGAGAAGTGCAGTGCGAGGCCTAAAATTAAGGCTTAATATTATGTCTACTTTGACATCTGGAAAAATTGGAAAGACCTCAAATGGTCATCCAGAATTTCCTTTTCTCGGTCTGCTTCTGTGGAGTAGCTTCCCTAGCTGAAAATCATCCTGATCAAATAAATGATCCAAATGTGCTGTCTACTTATCTGTGAATAGTGGGTTTTAATTCTATGCCAGCCTGAAGAATTATTTGAACAAGCCAATCACTTCTTTCTGTGGGAAGTCAGAGCCACCTCATAAGAAAAAAGAAGTCAATTTCCATAATGAGGTTGCTTGAGGTTCCAAGTGTTATTATGTTCTTGGTACCACAAACCCTGCCTCTCACAGCCCCTGGTTGTTCATTCTGTTGCCAAGTGTGACACCCATATAGGCCTGGATATCATGCCATGTCCTCCTTCCTGGGTTGTGAATCTATGTGTCTGGCAAACTACTGTCCATCTCATCTCTCCAATGTTACTTGTTTGGCCATCTCTTAAAACCCTAGGGTAGAAATCTCTCTCTTACCAATAGAATGAAAAAGAAGAGAGCAAAATAAGTGAATGTTGCAAGTAGAAGTTAGAGCTGTGCTGTCCAATTTTACAGCAGTAATTCAATTAACTTTCATTGAATACTTAATCATGTGTCAGGCTTTGGTGATATATAAGACTTCAAATAAATGAAAAACAGTGATTTTTAAAAATAAGGTTTTAAGTCTGTTTTTTTTCTCTCTCTCTCTTTTCTTCTTCTTCTTCTTCTTTTTTTTTTCTGCTATGAGCAAAAGACCTGCCAAGAAGATTTTAGAGGAGGAAATGTTTATTTTTAATTTACAGTTTCAGGGACTCAGGATCTGATGTCCAATTCCATTGCTCTGCACCAGAGATGAGGCAGAACAGCGTGGTGGAAGGGTGTGAAGGAAGAAGACAGCTCAGGACTTAGCCATCAGGAAACAGAGATATAGCTCTGTTTACCAGGGACAAAATATTAACCCCAAAGGCATGACCCCAGTGATCCATCTCCTCTAGTCACACCTTATCTGCCTGCAGTTACTACCCAGTTAATCTATATCAGTCAACTGAATCATTGATTAGGTTACAACTCTCATAATATAATCATTTCACCTGAATGTTCTTGCATTGTCTTGCACAGGAACTTTTGAGGGACACCAGATATCCAAACCATAACAAATGGAAATTAATTATTTATATGAATATTTAATTTCAGGCGTGGAATACTGTGTATTTGTCATGGGAGAATGCAGAAATAACTATATTGATATTAATAAGTACAGAACATTTAAAAAGAATAAAACGTCTTCATTTCTGGAAAGAAGAAGGTGAAATTAGAGATAAAGATTTATGGAGAATTGAGAGAAATTTTCTTCTAATTTTTAATACCTAAACATTGGTAGCATACTTTGTTGTATATGCTTCCAATATACATATAAGTCTCCATAGGACACATACACTTCTATTAAGTTTTGCTTCCATATTTTTATTAATGTTTCCATTACATTTTTCATTGGTTTGAGGGAGTTAGCGCATTAGATTTAATACTTTTCAATAGGTACAGATAATCTAGTGAATAACTAACAAAAAATAGATAGGGGGGAAAGGAATAAAGAGACTTCAATAGGATGAATTAAGATGGAATTACCTTGCTGTGAATGTTGATTATCAAAGCAGCCAAAGGGAGAAATAAAAAACTTGTTTTTGCCTTGTGATTGGAAGACAGTTTATCATTCTGACCAAATACAATGATATGTTTAAGTTATATATGTGTTTTTACTAAGGGGGGTAGAATAAAATTTCTGTTTGATGAAAAAAGAGAGTACTTTGTTGGCTCTACATTATTTTTGTAACTAATATGTTTTGGCACAACATCAGTCATTGCACTATTTAAATATGTTCTCATTTCCTATCTACAAGAAGCCTATGTGTAATTATTTTGTTTTCTCCATTTTATGGAAAAAGAAACTATGACCCAGGGAAGTCCCACCAACTGTCTAAGGTCATGCAATTAGTGAGAGGTAGAACTGGGATGAGAGCTCAGAGTTTGAAACACATTCTCAAACCTGGTTGTACTTATTTTATGTTTAGAATTTAGAGAACAAAGATAAAGAAAGGAAAACAATCAGCTATTGATTGAACCCTTGGGTTTCAGAGGAATTTAAAACATTACTCTAGTGGCCATACCAACAGTAGTGTTTATTCTGAAGAAGAGAACCAGTCACCTGTTATGCACATACTACATCAGTTACTTTAACAGTTTACATTCCAGTAAAGACAGTTTCTCTATGCTTTACCCACCTTTCTCATTGGCAGACGTGGAAAATGGAATTTGGGTGGTCAAAAACTAGTTGAAATTTCTCAGACATAACATATATGCATATATACATTTGCATAATGCATATATATTTTAAAATATGTGTATTTTCGTGTCTAAGTTGTATTCCTATAGTTGATTAAAAAAACAAAACAGTCCTATTTGCAAGACTACCAGTTTTTTTTTTTTCTTTTTGAAATCGTTAGGCATTATTGTTTTTGAGGGACTTCCATCAAACAAATAATTAATATTATCTAGCTACCAGAAATAGAACTTTTATTTCTACCATAAATATATCTATTTATATTTTTGTCTATAACTAGAAATAAATTATTACTCATAGTAAATAGGTCACTTTATATTACATTAAAACTGTGAGAGAGAAAAACAAAACTATGTAAAACTAATGTAAGATATGCGCGTTAAAATCCAGGCAAATAAAATCTGTCATTAAATTAAAAGTTGTATTTTTTAACAAAAAATACAGTGATAGAAAGTGTACTAGTGCTCTTCCTTGTTGTATATTTAATTACATTTGAGTCATTGTTAAATACAAAAATAAATTGATTTTGGATGACTTCTCATAAAATAGAATTTTAGGGATGAGTATTTGACAAACATATATAATATTTTGATGAAGAATTAGAATGAAATATTGTTATTGCCTTTATCAAAGTAACTAATAATTATATTTGAGAGGCAACTTGAGCAAAGACATGAAGAAAATCAGAAGAAATTAGTATGCTCAAAGGCTTCAGGAAGTATTTTTAAATTTTTAAAAATTACTTCATTTACAACCAGGAAATAGAATTTAATTTAAATTTTTAAAGAATTACATATATTAAATATTGAATCAATTATTCTGGATATCAATAAGGATATCCTTTTGTTATTGTTGTTATTGTTGAGATGGGGACTCACTATGTTACCCAGGCTGGCCTCAAACTCCTCAGGACAAGGGATCCTCCTGTCTCAACCTCCAGAGTGAATAGTTGAAACAGGTCTACTACCACGATGTAATATCTACTAGCATGTTAATAACCTCCAAATATGATAGGACCTTATAATTCAAGACAGAAAGATTACCTCTTCTCTAGAAATTGATTTTTGGGTGATATGACTGAGTAATTGGGTTCAAGTTAGAGAATTAGTGACGTTTGAAGACATAAGCTTTAGACTTTTCTTTCTTAAAATAGGTGTGTTCCCCTGTGCCAAGCACAAGATACAGATTTTCCTGATTTACTGTGGTACAAAATCTTATAATCCAGAGTCCCAAGTAGTTTATTGTCAGACGCAGATGAATTATGTAATTGAAATATATTTTGTTGTCTTCGTTATCAAACTTAATAAGAAAAATGTACACACTGATTGAAATAACCAGGAGAGAAGAGGACAGTCACATTTGGGAAATTTTTGCTTTCAGATATTTGTAACTAGATAAATTAAATTGTATGCATTATTTAGAAAACAAGGAGAAAATTCAGAAAATGGGCTACATTTTTAAAAAATCTGATGATGTGCTAGAGTATCCTGAGGTTTGTCAATTTCACTTGAAAAATATATGCCCTCCATCCTATCACTATCTCTTTTATTCTACTGGGCAAAAAAAGAGTTAATCTTAAGAAAGAATTAGAATATACACAAGAGGAGGCTAGTATACAAATAATTGAAAGTCAGAAATACCCAATTACTCTTATTTAAGTGTTCTTAAAGGATGCTGTGAAGCACAGACCTGCCTAAGTAACAAGGTGAGTTGGAGCTGCTCATCTAACAGTGGAACCACCAAAGTCACTGACATTTATATCAACTTGTACCTATGAAAAAAAAATCTTACATTTTTCTGAATAAAAAAAGATCAAGAACTTTCTTTGCTAAAGAAAACAGATAAAAATCATAATGAAACATAAACACAAAGTTGGATTCTGAAATAAAATATGTAAAAACCCTGATTCTCTTTTAAAATGCCCAAATTTGATTTGCTTGCTTAAAATAAAACAAACAAAATACAGAAAAACAAAGACATAGACCTTCATTTTGCTACTGAATTAGTGCAAATATAATTTCTCAAATTATAGGGAAAATTAGTATTATTTACAGTCTTTGAAAAATTACTCTGGGGGAAGGATGGATTGATGGGTAATATTACCAGAGTCAGTATGATTTACTGTTCTGTTGAAATTTTGCCTTCATGTATCATGGAAAAGATTAACCAAGCCTTAATATATCATCATTGACAAATGGGATAAAAATCCCACTAGCATGATAATAACCTCCAAATATGATAGGACCTTATAATTCCAAGACAGAAAGATTACCTCTTTTCTAGAAATTGATTTTTGGGTGACATGACTGAGTAATTAGGTTCAAGTTAGAGAATTAGTGATGCTTGAAGAGGTAAGTTTTAGACTATATTTCTTTCTTAAAATAGACATTAAAAACATAATCTTCTACAATTGTAGATATACTGGCATATAAGAAAAATTCATGCTTTAAAAAGATTGACATATACTATATAGAAGGCACAATGCCTCACTATACCTGCAAATACAACTTGGTGTTTTCATTCCAGAATTATCAATAAAATTTTTTCTTCTATAGTGAAAAAATATATATAACTACTTCATCATTGTCAAAGTGAAATTATATGGATTAATATGCTGTAGGCTAAGATTTCTGGACCCATTTCAAGATGGCCTTTCACATAATAGTGATGTTATACAGTTACCCCCGCGCCCTTTTTTAATTCCCCCCTGAAACTCTCCAATAGATTTTAGTGGAACCACAATGTCAGGTTCACTGAGAATGGTCTCTCCTGGTTGACGAACCAGTGATATCTGTGAATACAGAACTTTTCAAATAGGCCCCTTTTACAAGATGAAAAGACACAAAAAATATGGCAGGGTACAACTTCACAACTTCTTTAGGAAGTCAAGGAAATTCATAAAGGGAAGTAAACAGAGAAAAATATATGTGGGCTAAATAAAGTAAATGAAAATTATTCAAAAATAAATGTGTGTGATATTATAATTTCTTTTTAAAAAAACCCAAATTATTTGTAAATTAAGGGAAAATGTTAGCCCTTTATTCAGCTATTGGGTTACCACTAACCTAATTTACAAACACCTCAGTCCTTATCTTTTCCTCAAAATTTTAATAGGTTCTTTGCATATAATCAGCATTAGTAGTCATACACAGTTTCTGAAAATTAGTTAACAGAGGAATTGAGCTGTATGATAGTCCCCACACTAGAAACTGGTAATACTACAAAACCCCACAATTTTTTTTCTGAAGAGCTTACATAGGGATTGGTGCTAGTAACTGCCAATACGTGCATATATAACAGTTTTCATTTTATGAAAAAGATCGAAGGAAATTTATTCATATAGTCCTCTGTTGACAATCACAAATGCAACAAGGGGTAAAAGTTGTGGGGCTTGTTTTTTCTACTTAATAGTAAAGTAAATATCTTGAGAGGCATGATTCTTGTCTCCAGTGCTATCTCACTTTCTGTAGCTCCTGTCTTAGCCACGATGGCAGAGGCTGCCCCAGTCTATGTAGCAATTTGGACAGTTCCACATTATGATCTCGGTAGTAATTAGAGAGGAAAGTTCTAGACTGGAAAGAAAAAAGAAAAAAAAAAGATTGAAAGCATTTATCATATTCTCAAACCAGATTATGAAACCTGTATTTCTTAAGAAATTCTGTTATGATAGAGATGTTTACAAACTACCTTATTTTTTTCCTCAAACATTGCTCATTTTAGTCTTTTAGAAAAATTTGGAAAAAGAATAGCTGAAAAATAAAAAAAAATAGGTCCAGGTGTGTGCTAAGTGACTTATCTATCATTATAATACATATTTATTGTGGGATCCATGATGATCCCACAGAGAAAAAAGTGAGAACGAAAGTATAATACTAGAGAAGAATAGGTAGGTACCTGGTGAGGAAGCAGATATATAGAAGTTAATGCAAAACATATTATAACTTTTCTTTTAAAAATTGCAGCATAGAATAAAAATTAAAAGTAAGCACAAATAATCACAAAAACTGAAATCCATGATTGCAAAAAATAATTTACCACATTACAGAAAATTTTTCTATATTTATTCAGATCAAATATAGATGGTTTTAATCATTAAGAGCTTTCTACTTTCAAAATACCATAAGATCTCTGAAGTGGGTCTTTAAAAAATTCTTATATTACTTGTCAAACTGGAGAGATTGGCCTTTATTAGATAAATGGTAAAAATTAAGGCTAAAATATATCAATGGTTTTAGTTTCATGGTTCACTTTTATTTACACAAACTTCTGGAAAACAGAAAATTTGTAATTAGCCTTTCTTTCTTGATGTCTCTTTCTTTTTTTTTCTTGATGTCTCTTCCTTCATATTATAACCCAGTTTACATAGTTCTGTGAATCTTCAGCAAATCAGCGGAATTGAACACTTTTCCCATGTAAGTATAGGTGGCAATGGCCCACACATAGTTTGTCTATCTGACATGAAAAAGTTCTACCATCTCTTTCAAGCTCTCCCCAATATTATAACACGAATGGGTCACTTTCTTCATAAAACTGCCTGGAAACTTTTGTATGTACTGTGGAAATGGATTTAAGACAACTACATTGCATCTTGGACCATTCACCAGGCCTCTCGTTGCATTTCTACCCTTAAACCAGAGTGTAAACACTTCAAATTTGGATGTTTATAGCAGTAGTGGGAACAGTACATTGATTTTTGGCAGATTAAAGTGATTTCTGAAATCCTTTTGAAATAATTGAGTTCAGAGATACAGTTGAAGGACTTTCTGGTACTTCTGTCTCCATAGTAACACGTGCATCACTGGCGTCCTCCCTTTGCTCACCTTGCCTTCAGAGATATACTCAGGATACCTGAGTCAATTGCTGTTGGTTTCCCATCCCTAGAATAACACTAACACTTTACTTCACTTATCTTCACTTCTGTTGAGATTTTCTTTTTCTTTTTCTTCTTCTTTTTTTTTTTTTTTGGTCTTTTTGGAATTTAGTTTGTCATTGTTATCTTATTGTAAATCTGTGACCAAAACTAATTTCTCTATCCTCTAATAAATGTGGGTTCATAATTATTTTATATGTGTATCCTCTCCATTGCTTAGTTCAGGATCAGTCATAGTGCAGGGACTGGATAAGTGTCTTAAATGTACAAGAATGATCTTTCTATATTTTATGTAAAAATCACTTGTTTGCTAAACAAGTATTTCACACATTTGAAAAGGAAAATATTTAAGTTTGAATTGCATTCCAATAGGAAAAAATCTATAGGGATATTGATCAACCCTTTGTCTATCTAGTTATCTCTCTCATCTTCTAAATGTATAAACTACTGATGTAAAAAAAAAGATCAGAATATGGGAGCATATCTCTGTTACTAATTTTGAAATATCTGTATAAACAGATTTTTTGCTATAGCAGTTCATATTAGGAGAATATTACCTCTGGATCCATGGGTGGATATTTTCGGCCTTTGCTTTTTCCAAGGCATTTGGTCTTTCCTCCTTCCAGTAGTTGACACCAAAAGCCCTTCTGGGGATCAAACCTATATTAGATGAAACATTTAAAGATTATAAACTGTATATAGAATTTTCAGTGAGAGAGCCTCACCAATTAACTAAAGAAAATGTAGTTTTTCATGCCCATTGTTTTGACTTAATTAGTTTCCACAGATTCGGCTGATTTGAGAGGGGACATTGAGATAAAAGAAACTATTAGTATACATTTTAAGTAATGCCTTCAGTCCAATTTGACATTGAAATTGTTATATTCTATATTTTACTTATGACTCTATATAAAATCAGGGACCAACATCAAAATCACATTCCATATATAAAGTACCTTTAGGATATTTTATCTGCTTATGATCACTGACAAAATATGTTGACACTGCAGGGCATGGTAGTGCACACTTGTAATCCCAGTGGCTTGGGAGGCTGAAGCAGGAGGATCAGGAATTCAAAGCCAGCTTCAGCAATGGTAAGGTGCTAGCAACTCAGTAAGACCCTGTCTCTAAATAAAATAGGGCTGAGGATGTGGTTCAGTGGTTGAGTGTCCCTGAGTTCAATCATTCATACACATGCATACACACACACACACACACATTTCTTTGAAATCATTCTATGATGTATATTAAAAAAACCTAAATGTAATGTAGGCATATGACTCTGAATACAAATATAATTAAACTTTCCAACTTGGAAAACGCTTCATTTTGTTTAATAGTTTAAATGTTTTCACTTTAAAAAAAGGAAATTATATTGTTGTTAGACAACATGAGATACCGGCAATACAAATGGTGAGTGAAAGATTACACAGCTCTTCTTTCTTTTTGTTGAAGGCAGATAATCCTATTGGATGATTAAGGTTCCTATACTCTTAAAGGAAATTCTAATGTTGTTTTGCTTCCATGGTTGCACCAAGTTACAAAAGGAAGGATGTGTGGCCTGATTATTTTGTTTAAAGTGAAATGTATAAGAATTTTTGTTTAGGACTAACAAGATAGGGAAAATGAAAGAATGAACCAAATAAGCAGGGAAATTTTAAATTTATTGCTATGGGACTTGCCGCATGCATAAAACATTGAAAAGGTTTGCATTTTTTGTTGCTCAGCAGATGTTTTAGAAGGATGAAGCATAATTGACTGGGATGTAAAGTTAATTAGTTGCGGAATATTTTGTTGCCCTGGGCCCATTCCTATAATACTGGTACACCTGCAATTTGCATCTGCACATATGTGAACTCATTTAGGGTGAGAAGGAAATTTCTTCACAGTTCTCTGCCCAGCCTATTATTAGAGACCTGATCTTTGCAGTCCAAGTTGTCCTAGTACATGTTATCAATTAAAATTAAATACATCACTAGTTAAATGGATAAAAGGAAGACAGAGTCATTTCCAACCTGAACTTTTCAATCTGCTCCCTGCCTATCACAGTCCTTTCTCCAGTTTTCATTAATTTCCCAAGAGGAAAAACAATTCAGCATGCTGTGCAAAATGAGATGGGGAAGTCGGCATAACAGTGCCCCAAACAGCATTTTCTGCCTCAGGATGAGAATATTTAACTGTGTTAAGGTAAAATACAGCACTGGCAACAAAGCTGAGATATTTATACACACACTGAGCATCTCTCCTTTGCTCTCAGGTAGTGTGGAAAACTCAGGGTGGACTGTAGTCTCTCCTTGCTCTCTGCAGCAGCCATGTGAAGCAGAGCTTAGTACAACCTGAGCAAGAAGAGCCATTTAAAATATTGCAAGTCTAGAGTATTGAAAGTTTTTTAAAAAGGATAGACATAGCCTTAAATCTGCGTCATTTTGCTGTCCTATTTTCATTTATTGTATTGGCAACTGTGTATATCCTAAATCTAACAAAGGCTATTTATCTTCCCTAAGTTGTATCAATTCATTGTTTTACTTGAGTAGGCATGAAATTGTGAAATTAAGATGGAAAATGTTTCTCAAATAACTGTTAGTCAACTTTTAGAAGATGAGTTGACTTTCTTTATTACACTTAATATCACTCTAGTTATTAATTTTATGATATGTGAGAGATATCAAAATTCCCATTTTATGTTGCTTATAATTTTCCTCCCAAAAGTATGATTTTCCAGGTTTATTGAACCATGAGCAACTATTTGTAGTAAACAGGATAGAAGCATTGCCTAAACTAATACTGAGGAGCAGGGAAGGTATGTCAGCATCAATAACTATTAATGCAAAACATATTATAAGAAGATTGTCTACTAAATCAACAGGGGCATGCCTTGTTTGTTGCTATTTCCATGTGTAGGTTAAAAACTTCATTAGGGTTATTTTAGTGGATAAGGAACAACCAAATCTTGTTACTGCTTTTCCTGTCCCTCCATTACCCTCTCTAATTGTCTAATTGCTGATTCTAATCTGCTGTGAACTGGGAAATTACATAATCAGGCTTGTTAGAATTTTGTGTAAAATTTAATAGACTTTGTATCTGACTTTGTGGGGGGAATGTTTATGAGCAAAGTCCATGCCCTTTTAAAATATGTTTTGGCTTCTTGGAGATTTTATTTTGGTTTATATTCCTCCTTGCCCATTTGAAATTACCTTAATATATGGGTTTATTTTCCCAAGATGACTGTAACAAAATCTTCCATCCCACATGCTCTTCTGTAGCATGACCTTGTCTTTCCTTATTAAGAGGTGGAATCTCATTTTCCTTTCTTAAATTTGGACTGGCCTTAGTGACCACAGTAACCATCAGAAGGCAGCATAAGCAATGTCCTATGACTTGCAAGTCTAGGTCAGAGAAGTCTATGACTCTCTTGCACCACAGCTTCCTCAACATTTCACTCCCTCCTGGAACGCAGCCACTGTGAGAAAGCTGAGTACCAGGAGAGGCCACGTGGAATCTTCAGCCTACTAAGCACAGCCTTTGAGCCATCCCAGTCCAAGTATGTGGATGGAGAAGCCTCCCAATGATTTCAGTCTTCAGCCATTTGGGTCATATTGAAATACTCAAGTCCTCCCAGATGTGACCTGAGATAATGAGTAAAACAAGCTATCCCAGCTGTGCCTGACTAATTCGTGAGCTACAGAATCCATAAGTGTCCTAAAATAGCTGTTAATTCATGCCAGTAGTTTTGGAGATGCAACAATGGACAGCTGGAGTATGATACATGCTTTCATTTATTTGTAAATATTTTAGTAAATACAGAATGAAACATGAATGTACTTCATTCCCAATTTGGGGCTGGGCACTTTCACAGAAGGAAAGATGTCCATCGATATTTCATTTCTAACTTGTAAATTACTCAGAGGAAGAGAATATATTTCTCATCTTTGTAGCTTCAATTTCTAGGATACTTTCTGCATAGAGTAGACTTGTGAAAAGTTTAGTTAACCAAACTGGTACTAGGGAAAAGCTCCAAAATAGGGGAATTCATTCATCATAATATGAAATACTCTATAAGATAAAGTATTCCTGGCATTCAAAAGGGAGACACTACATGAGTAATGAAGATATTTCTTTGACTGCTTTTGAGTGGCAAAATGATGTATAAATTCATAGCTAGTATATGGTGCTATATACACACCTACCAGTGATAATTTATGATGGCAAATAATGGAAATGAAATCAAGCATGAGAATAAACTCACGTTAGTGCTTCAGAGTAATTGTAATGAGGTGTAACTCCCAGAAACTTCTGGACTTCATCCATCACAGTAGCTGGGTCAGATCTCAGCTGCTGTCCATCAATAATTAGCAACTGTAAAGTCAAAAATAGTCACTTTATGAAGAACAAAACTAAATTGAATAGACTGTGCTGCTTCCCTTGACCTGGTATGACATTAATAAATTAGGTCAGTATGAATAGGAAGAAAACATGAACTACTTAGAACACATTTTAATGTTTGCTCTTCTTGCATCCTTTCAATTAACAATAATTAAAGTTTGCCATAGGGGATTATTTTTTTGGGAGTTCTTAAGTGATAGTCCTTCACTTACTTTATTCTAAGTCAGAAATACACACACTCTCTTGAGTTAGTACTTCAGTGAGAACAGAATATTTCCATCTGTAGTGTAATTAGATAAGCATCCCGACTACCAAATCTCATACGGGCAAACCTGGAGTCAAAGACAGAACTACTGGTCATCCAGATCAAAAAGATCCATCTAGTGTTATAAACCATGACAAGATGGTGGAGGAAGATGTTTGTTCTTGTCTTTATGACCTTCATTTACTGTTCTAGAAGATCAGATTTACCAAAGGAATGTTTAAAAAGAAAAGAAAAACATGTCATTGCTGAAGTCCATTCTCTGGGCCTTCAATTATGCCCTGATCTGGAATGAAAACTATAAGAATATGGATATTTCCTGAAATCCTTATTTTGGGCTATATTATATATTCCGGGAAATGCTACAGTACTTTGTATTGTGGTGGTCTAGTGCATGAGCTCCTTCTGTCCTTATAAGGAAATCCACAAATTAACTGTCAGTTCTACTAGTAGTTGAAAGGTGTTGCCTGTGAATCATACGAAATTCCTTTGGGAGAACTTACCATTGTGAAACCAGCTACTATTCAAAAGAGGATCCTAGGAATGTGTTTCAGAGTCACTTAATAGAATTTTAATAGTAATTGTGAAATTAAAAATAAAAATTCACATTTCGTCTTTACATACAATTTTCTTTGACAATAAATTTCTATCCCTGGCAATGTTTGTTCACATTTTTCTGTTTGTCAGTGAAACACAATCATGATGTAATTAACAGAGGAAATTAATATCAGGACATTACCTGAGAAGTTGCAAAGTAAGTTAGCCATCTTTCTATGTGGACAGCATACCATCCAGGTACTAGGCATCTCCTCTGCAAAGTTTTTAAGTCAGATGGGGCCCAATATCCTGTTGTAATAACTTCATAGAAATTAAATCTCAGGGCAGCTGGATCTTCATGTGATCGTTGGTGCTTTAAACAAAAAGTCAGTTGTAAGGTTAGTTTTTCAAAATGTTTCTGTAGCTATATAAATGAGTGTGTGCACGTGTGAGATGTGTGTGTCTTTCATATCACAAAATAATAAAGGTACTTGATTATAGAATGAAAAATATGGTCAAAACTGCATTTATTAAAATAGGCACTGGCACATTGCTTATTGTAAAATACCAGCCTTCACTACACATCAGGTGATATGCAGAGAGCTTGTGGTTATGTGCATGTCTAAGATGTTTAGTTGAAAAGCAGAGACAGAGTACAAGAATTTTCTGTGTGGATCTGATTAGGAGAGAAAAAGTATCAGGGACAAGACAAATCAAGTCTGATAAAATGAGATTCAGATGGGCAAGAGTGAGCTTACATATTACAGAGCCCACTATTTCATTATAGCTGCTCCTCCAGGGTCTAACGTTCCCATTTCTCAGTATGGCTGGTGCTGTGGAGAAGGCAGATATCTATTTATCATGTTTGTTTAGGTTTCAGATTCATGTTGATGTTAATCAAGGTTCTTTCATTCTCCTATGGGTTTCCAACTAACACTGCTAATTCTCAAGTACTACTTCACTCCTACTTTTTCAGTACAAAATTCTCTTAGTCTTTTATACCAAACTTTCATTGGTCGAGCAGGAAAGAGCCCAACTCAATGAGAGATGAATTTCTCAGTCAATACAATTTCACAAGCATTTATTATGCATCTTTCTAGAACAAAGAACAGCTATAGGTTCCTGAGATAAAAAGATATAACCTAGAACCATTATCTTCAAAGAAATCAAATCTAGTGTGGGAGTCAATAGAGTACTAGATTGTAACAAAGTCATGTATTTGACTAGCAGTATAAGTTACTTGTGGTGACAGCCAAGCCAATAAGGGGTTAATTCTGATGACAGATAAAAGAACATTTTTCAATGGCTGAAACTTTTAAGTTAATATGTTACAAGAAAGATATTGCTAATCCGAAATAAACGAACATAGGAACTAAGAGAACTTTATCATATAAGGTAAGTTTGAGTGAAGGTGGATGATGCGTGTAGGGATAAATGATTTGGTGGTGTGAGATATCTAAAAGTGAATATGAAGAAAATCTAGTAAGGCTAAGGATGAAAATATAATGGAATCTGATATGATTGTGTAATAGCAGACCCCATATGTGAGTAATAAGCCTTATATTTGAGTTAGAAATAAAACAACTAAAAGAGTAAAGATGATTTAGGAAGTGGGGAATAGTTCAAGAGTAACTAGTGAGTGGAAAATTGGTGGGACTAATAAAATCCCCCTAATTATTGTATATACATTGTCCTTCCTAGATGTATATTCACTATGCTGAGAATACAGAAATTTTATAGTTCATTCAATAAACAAAATGTATAGAAATTAGATCATATGAATAAAGAATTATAAATAAGCCGTAGGCATATGAATGCAGGACAGTAACACTAAAATTTCTATTATAAACAGTGATAATCAGGAAGTGTACTTAATCTGTTCTGTATTGATTTATACCAGTTTAGCACTAACTTTTCTTCATATTCCTGTGACTAAGATTAGCATAAAAATATGACCTGGAAGTCACAAAGGGACATATTTTATGGCAAAAATAGCACTTTAGTTCTCTGTGAGGTCCATTATAAAAATATGGGGTAGAAATTACAGTGGCAGGTGACATTTGTAGGAGTTTCTGAATTATACCTGCTGAGCTTTGGATTTATGGTATTTACTGAATAGACAGGACTAGCTAAGTAATAGGCTACATTATTTTGAAGTGTGGAACACTTTGGGGCCCTGCTCTCAGCAATATGGCAATAAAAAGTATTATCAGAAAAAAATAATTCCTTTCAAATCTGTATGTTCAAAGAATTTATTTGAAAAAGCAGGTACAAAGAAGACATACATTATATAAATTCTATTTTACTTAAATGGTTTAATTTATGTGAAAAATTTATTTTAATTTGCTAAAAGCAATGACTATGTTTTCTGCTAGGAAAATCCTCAACATTTCCTCCAAATATTTAAAACTTATAATTAAGGATTAGCATCTTAATGTTTTTGGCACCATTTTAAAAAAATAAATTTATCTTGCTTTGCAATATGAGTTTCATAAACTGAGAAAGACTTACTTTTTTATCCTGTGGGAACACTGATTCAAAGATTCTGATGGTAACTTATGAATCTTGCTTCTAATCCAAGCATTTTATTTAAATCCCCAACTATTTTTAATGCCAATTTGTAATGTCACATTTTTGGCTTTTGTTACTTATTCTTGGTAATACATATTATTGAAGAAATTTTGCAAAGTCAAGAAAAATGAAGAATAAAATTTTTATGGAAATTATTTGTCTTATACCCTTAAATTTTCTTTTATACCCTTAAATTTTCTTTAAGTAAATCTTCCTAATTTTCCCATTCATTTCCATATTTATTAAACATACACATACACAAAATTCATTCACATAGTTGATATTTTGGAATATATATACCCTGTTACCACAATTCAAGATCAACAATTTCAATAAGTTATCATTCCTGTAGACAATTTACATTTCTGTGGTCAGCTTTATCCCACTCATGTGCAAGTTCATATCCCCTTTTATTCATCTCTTCAAAATGCAAGCTCCCTAATCTATTGGTCTCCTTTTCATCAGATTAAACTATTCTAATTTGCCAAAGGACAGACTATCACAGTGTCTTCCATTTCTCTGAATTTACTAGCACATACATTCATCCTCTCCAACATCCTTCAAGTTTCATGCCAGAGATTTTTAGACAGAGACCCATTAATAGAATATAGTGAGGTCTATGAATTTGGATCAACAACAACAACAATAACAACAAAAGCTCTTTATTTTCAGCAACCTCTAAATGAAATTTAACATTTCCTTTAATTGTGAATGATGACAGTAGACACACTAATTATCTTACCTGTAATTTTGCCACCAACAAAAATCAGTTATTTTTATATCACATTATAGGTGTTTCAGACATATCAAAATGTTGCTTATGCTCATCAATATTACAGTGGTTTGACTCGCCATTAGAACTTGTCATTAATGGTTTAGTAAATAAAACTATTACTAGTTTAAAATATTCTGATAAATATATTTCAATATAGTTTTTCCTTAGAAATTCTATGTGTTTAATTTCATGTTTTTAAAATGTATTTTTATTCATTAACCTATTTACTTTGGCTATCACTTCTTGGTTCTTCACAGGGTTTACTACTCATTTTCTCTCCTTACCTGTACTTCTTTTTCTTTGGAAACTTTCTATCTTAAATCAAATCACCACCACTACATAACACATACTATGTTTCCCTTGATCCCACTTCAGCTCCTATATAGTAAGTCAACACCTTGTTTTTTCTCTTTAAAATCACAATTTTTGAGTCTTGCAAATGCTATTACTATTCCTTCATCCCTGCTTATTATTCTACAACCAAACCCATCTAGTTTTTCTCTTTTCACTCTGTGGCTAGGGGCTTTAACTCCTGCCTTATCTTTCAAATCAATGAAAAGAATTAAGGCCTTGTTTTACCCAATTGTGTAATTTCATAGCAGCTCTTTGTCACTGTGTCACCACCTGCATTTGGCAGCACTGTCTCCTCCTAAATTTCAGGTCACCATGTTCCTGAATTTCTTCACTGGGACTGTTATTTTTTTGTCCCTTTTGATACCTTATCTGCTCTGTGCTTTTCATTTCTAAACTATCTCCTTGGGTCATTTCATTATTTTTGTGATTATGGCTCATGTGGCAGATTCAAAGATTTCTGTCTCCAACTGGGACCCCCTCCCCATAATGCCAATAAATTCTACTGTTCCTTTCTGTTAAGATGAGAATCCATATGTCATAATCATCCTTTTCTTTTCATTAGCCTCACATCTCCTGCCCTACCAGGAGATCTACTGTATCCTTCTTCAGGACATCTTTTTGCATGGGAGTGCATGGGCATCATGTAGTTTCCCAGATTGGAAGGAAACTTGATTCATCCTTCATACTTCCTTCTTAGGCTCATTGATTCTAATCTCCAAACATCTATTAATATTTTTATACTTCCTTCACTTTCTACTTATACCACCATTTTTCAGCAAGCCTATTGCAATACCCTCTAGTTTGACTTCACTGAATGACCGTTTGTCATACTCCAATCCATTCTTCAAATAGCAGATAACATAATGTTTTCTAAATGAAAATCTGGTAGTAACACACTGATTACTATTTGCAAAGGCTTTTAATTGCTAAAAAAAAAAATGGCAGCCCTGGTGTGCCTCTGTGTACTATGGTTCTATATACCATGTGCACTTTGCATATACCTCTCCCTCTCCTCCATTTGCCTTCTCCCTTCACACAGTTACTTATGTATTCATCGTTCAGTTCCAGGTAGTTCATTTCCCTAGAGAATTCTCTTGGAGCACCTTTACGTACTTCCTCACAGCATAATCACAATGTTTAATTATTTATCTTTATGATTAGTACCTATTCACACAACAGAATAAACACAATTCTTTAATTACCATTTTATTGATTAGAACCATAATGAAACATACTCATACAATATTCCACTTCAGTGTGACACAAATCAATATTGTCAGGCATTTACCTTTTCATTTGTTCCTATTATTATAGATAGTGCTACAATGTATGTAAATATTTGTTCATACCTTTGAAATTTTCTGTACCTTCAATCCCAAAAAAGGAATCACACTGAAAAGATCTTTACACACCTTTTGATGCTCTTACCAAACAAGTTTTCAGAAAATATCCCAAATGTACCTTTCTTTTGGAATGCTATCAACCTTTATTATCACACTGTTGCCAACAGAAGTATCAGTAATCTTGTCAAGATATTATAAAACTTTCATTTTAATTTATATTTTATTGATACCTAATTGGTTTGATCATTTTTCCCATAAACTGTTGAGCAATGTGTATACAATTTTCTGTTGTACGTGTATACAATTGTCTGTTTGTGCCTTTTGTTCATTTTATTACTGATACTGTTCATTTTATTTAGTGATTTGGAAGAATTACCTATAAATTTTGTTTATAAATTGTTTACCCTGTATTTATTAAAACTATCCTTTTTACATACTGACTTTTAATTTTGTTAATTTTTTAAAGACCAACATTTGACATGATTGTATAGTTTGGGCAATTTATTAATTCTTTGACATATGATTTTTTTCTATTATTTTATGCTTGAAAATCCTTGTCCAAGTTGATAGTATGAGTTAAATATTCAATTTTTATAGTCATAAATATATGCATATTTATACATTATACAAATACAACTATATATGTGTATGAATATATGTATAACAAATACATATATATGTATACATATGTGTTTTTATATTTGAATCTCAGTGTATCTGGTTTTTATTTTCATGATTCACCATTGCCTATATTCAAGCTACGACTAAATGCTTTCAGCAGTGTTTTTCATTGCTCATACCTGGTACCAAGAGTATGCCCTGTCTGAAGGGTCGATGAGGATTGTGATGATCTTGGCTTTGGGGACTAGAGATGCAGCTCGCTTGGGAGCATCTTCTGAATGGAAATAATTAGCACTCTTTTCAAATAGAAAATCACTTGTAATGTTAGATGGAGTAGGAAAAAAGTCCATATACCTGAAGATAGAGAGAGAGATGATTAACCTGAGATTTGATTTAACCTGTACTCTGATTAGGAAGCAATTTGAACATTTTACACTTATTTGACCAATTTGTAATTATTATGCTATAAAGTAGCCCGAATAACAGATATTCAATACACACTGAGTATGAATAAGCACAAAATATTATCATTATAATAACTTATTTGGAGCAGGGGAAGGAATGAAATGGAGTAAGTAGTTTTGATACAGAACAAAGGGAAAATACTGTACATTTGAGCTGATACTCTGTGTTATCAAAAGCCAAATACAGAAATATTGTTTATTCCTGGAAAACAGAAAATTATACCATCTTGCTTCGCTAATATTTTAATATAGTTAATGTGTGTTTGCAAATTATGTGAAAGAAATTTTTAAGGTGAGATTGAAGTTCACAAGATACAAAAATGTGCAAGTCAAAATAGCTATAAAATACTAAACAGATTAAGGGATGGCTGTTCTCCTTTTTAGCTGCTGCATAATTTGTAGTATATGTAGCAATGTGAGCACATTATAGTCTATCTAGAGTAATTAAGGGGATATTTCCTGCCAGTTGATCCTGTGGTGCCTCAGTAGGTTCATTTCTCCATATGCTGTTGGAACGTTCCTCTGTGTGTAGATTATGGAATCAATATGTTTTGAGGTTAATTCAGTACAAGGCTTTAATTATGTGTGTAACCCTCCTTACAGCTCATCACTTCTCTAACCCTCAAATGTTCTAGAAATAAATAATGAGAGCAATTAAGAATTCATATAAGACACTTATTTTCCTCTTTGACATTTGTTATTATGTTTCCCAAATGTGGAGTGTTGAAGAATCTCATCTATATTCCTGCTTAACAATTTGTGTTCCATTTGAATTCACAGATAAGAGAAAACTGCTGTTCTGCTTTTAATAATATGCATGTAATTTCAATACTTAGTCTTTTAAAATTAAGGTAGGGTAGTAATATCCTAGACATAAAATGGTCACATCTCTGCTCATGATGGGAAACCAGATATGCTCACTGGCACTGCTCTTGATTGACATTAATCCTAAATCCTGCATCTAAAAGGAATGGGTCTTTCACTCAGGACAAGTTCATGCATGATGATGACCCACAAAATTGAGGGAAATTTCCTCAGGTAAGATTGGCCTTATATACCTGAGAATTAAAAATTAAATTTAGGACAATATTGTCTTGGCAAATTGGGATAGAGCTAGGGAAAACTCACCAGAGTGAATATCATCTCCAATACCAAGTTTATTCTTTTTTAGTTTATGAAAAATTTTATGATAATTAAAATTACTTATAATTTTTCAAGTACCAATTAACATTTTTTCATGCATGTGTGTTATTAGAGTTGATATGGTTTGGGAAATGCTCTCATTATTTGCATGACAAACATCAGCTTATATTGTAATACAGTATATACAGTCTATGGGGTTAATGAAGATACATGTCACATAGTACAAAATAAAGCAACGTACTGATTTATTTGTTTCCTCAAGCATCATTGTGAAGACAAAGTAATGCGTTTAATAAAAAAATTCAGGCACTGTAAAATAATAGTAGGCTTAAAGAGAATTTTAAATATCCTTATGAATAATTCTGATGAAAAATATCACATAATGTTTTTTATTCAATCATATTAACTTACCAGAAAAATATTATCATTATTGCACTGTCCAAATCAAATTATAGGCAACACTGATTAAACATATCATCATTATAAATTAATTTCTAATTCACTGTGGTAGAATTGAACATAACAAATTTATTCTGTAATTATGCAGATGCCATGCATACATCTATAATTGCTCTGCAGTGATGGAGCATGTGTTCATAATGGAGTTTATTTTTTGTTATTTTTCTTACCAGTCAATTCCCTTGTGATAATTGTTTCCATTAAAAAATTGAACTTCTTCAAATGTTTTGGGGCTAGGGAGATTGCTGATGATAGAAGGGTGCATAAGAAGAAATAAATAAAGTGCAGTTGTTCCTATTACAAAAAAAAGAAGGTAAAGGTTATATGAAATAAAAATGAAAGAAAAATTGTCACTATAGTATTTTCCTTTGCTCAAAAAGTAATATTCAGAAGACCAACTCTTTCCGTTGTCAAAATGATGTCCTTGACATCTCTTAGGTATTTTTCATGTAGTAACAATTCAAGTGTGTCTTTATCTCTCTCTGTGATTCTTTTTACTTAAACATCTGATTTAATATGAGTACACAGAGAAATTAGAACAGACTGATAATCCAGCCAAAGTAGAACTTCAGGAATAATGCAGTTCAATTTCCCTCCTGGAGCATCAAGGGCATGGGGTGCTTCTACCTTTATCTCTAGCATCAGACACAGTACCTGAAACTGATGGGTCCTGAACTGCCATTAAAATGCAGATTAGGTAACTATTCAACAGATGTTGCTGTATTATTCTGTATATGACCCTAAAGTAATGGTTGGTGATAACTCTTGATAAGAAAAACAAGTATACTGCCCTTGATGAATTTAAAGTCCATGCAAGGACTTGGGTCAAGGAAATTTTAATATAGTGGGGAAGATATTATAATAAGAGACAACTAGTGTGCTCTTACAACATTTGAGAAGAATGGGTGATTTAAGTTCTGGGAAGTCAGTGAGGGTTTCCAAAAGGAAGTAATTCTAAAGTTTTTCCTTGAAAACTAAGTGTTACTCAACAAGATTGAAAGAGTAGCTCAGAATTCTAGAAAGATGGCCATTTGAATGTTCTCTCCCAAAAGGACAGGGCAACCAAATCTGATGACTGATATTCAAGGCAGAACAGACTAGCCAGTGGAACCAATTTAGTGTCCACATATAGACATCTCAGATATGATCCATGAAGCTTATTTCTATCAATGACAGGCCAGAGACTGGGAGAAATAGCAGAAAGGACTCATGAAGTGACTGGGTCATCATAGCTCATATAAATCAAGGATTCCCTTCTTGAAAAGTTTCACAACTTTTATGACACATTAGAATAAAGTAGGGTTTTCAGATGTCTCAGACCTGGGAGAACTGGAGATGATATGTGGGTTGGCAGAATAATAATCATTGCAGTTGGGAGATATAGAAGCAGAGGTCATCAGATAAGTGGCATTTTGGTCTAATACAATTCAAACTTTTGTGAGCAAAGGCTACTGTGCTCTAAGAATTAGTGAGACTATCACTTTACACAGTAGACAAGATACAACAGACACATTAAAACATCTATAATGGGTGGCTCTCAGTTTAATAGGATGGAAAAAAATAAGATATTCCCTTATGAAGGCTAATTACTAATTGAAAAGACTTTTAAGAAATAATAATTATAGAATCAAGTCAAACAAACTTAAAAGAAAACTGAAAGAGAGAAAATTGGTTAAAAATTAGAGACTTTGGGGCTGGGGATATAGCTCAGTGGCATAGCACTTGTGAAGCATTGGGTTCGATCCTTAGTAGCACCACATAAAAATAAATAAATAAAATAAAAGTATTCTGTCCATCTGCTATTTGCCGTGGTGCACACCTGTAATCACAGCAGCTCAGGAGGCTGAGGCAGGAGGATCACGAGTTCAAAGCCTGCCTCAGGAAAAGCAAGGCTCTAAGCAACTCAATGAGACTCTGTGTCTAAATAAAATACAAAATAATTCTGGGGATGTGGCTCAATGGTTGAGTGCCCCTGAGTTGAATCCCCAGTACCCAAAACCAAATCAAAATAAAACAAAAATTATTCTGTCCATCTAAAAAAAACACCCAAAATAGAGAATTTAAGACCACCCAAAGAAGTATCTTAAACACAGTGTAAGATTAAAAGTCATGAGGGATGAGAGGAGTCTTGAAGAACTGATCTGATTTGTTCCTGAAAATAACAGGAGTTCAAAAGGATACAATGTGAGAGGAGGAGCAAAAGTGTTTCAGAGAAAAAGTGAATTAGACATAGTCAAAAGCTGAAAGTGTTCACAGAATGCAGAACTGTCTTTTTAAGTTGAGAATTACCTTCAAATATTTAACTCATTATGAGAATGAAGAAGGAAAGAGAAAGAAAGAGATTTCAGAACTACAGGACAGCTAAGAAAAAAATTTAATATTGCTAAGGTTTTGAATGTGGTTGAACCTAGGGTTTAGATACAGGACGATTTCCAAATTATTACTAAACTGTCAATAATATATTTTGTTTTATTTTTATATTTAGTACTGACAATTGAACCCAGGGGTGTTCAGTAACTGTTACATCTCCAGTCTTTTTTATTTTTCCTTTTGAGACTGGGTCTCACTGAATTGCCCAGGCTAGAATTGAACTTGCAATCCCTTTGTCTTAGCCGCCTGAGTCACTGGGATTACGGGCATGCACAACTGTGCCCGGAATTAATAGATATTTTATAATGTCCCTCAGTGATATGAAGAAGTGTTTAATCACTGGGATGCTTGTGGAATTGAATCCAGATCTCCCCTGGGATACAGAGAGTCAAAGCCTTTGTTTTCTGAACCCTATAGATTCATTCCATCAGGAGTTAGAGAACATCAGGAGTCCTCTGACAGAAAGGAGAGGGAAAGTTCTCTCAACAAGGGACAAGAGACACGTGGTTTCATAGTCACAGAATCAGCTCTAAAATCTGGGCTTACAACCTCAAAATGTATACATTTTTATTATCACCTGTGGTTTCATTATCCTTGTCACTCATTCTTATCTAATTTCTTTGATATATCTTGTGAAAGAAGAAGAAAAAGCTTTAGAGTTTGTATACTCTAAGAGAAACTCTACTTATATATAATCAACTCCTCTTTAGTTTTAATAAACCAGAGTAAGACAGCCAAATCATGAGAAATTAATATTGACAATGGGAAAGCTGATCTTCTGGAAGATTTATGGCCAACGAATTATGGTCTTGGAGTTATTGCACAAAAGTTGACCCTATTAGAAATTCTCTTTTTCATGGCAATACTAAAATTTGACTCTGAATGATGAAGTATTCATTGCTGTCTGAAGGAATAGAGAAGGGCTACAATTTGAGCTTTGTGTATCTTAAGTCCAGGGCTACTGTCATCTCTGATTATTTGTCTTCTCTTTGCCCTCATTCCTTGACCTACTTCTAGCCAATGAAAATCCCTCATAAGATTTGGCAAAGGCAAGGTGGGATGTCACATCTGTCCTTCCATTCTCCCACAACAACAGAGAAAACAAGACTTTGAGGACCTCTTTGGTATCTTACATTATTGTAAGGGATGTATGTACCATGTTTAAATTGTTATAAGGCAAGTGCATTTGAGGCCAGATTGTTAGGCTTTATCTGTGACTCCCCTCTAGGGAATTTACAGTCTCTGACAGCAGAGGAAGCTGTGCAAATGAAAATAATACAGAACAAAATATGATTTTAGCCTTCTCTGATTGGGTTTTTAGGAATTATTACAACCATTTTCATATTGGAATAATATTTTCATAGTACATAAAATATTATCATCCAATTTCTTTGTTTGAACATCTTACTTGTTTGTCTTGGTTAAGCCAAAACCAGCAAAAATCTTTATCACTGCCATACTGGTAGGTCAAATATAAAATCTAAAGGCATAACTTACTGTCTTTATAAATACAAAGAGCATGGAGGAAAAACATATTTATCATTACTAACCTGTAATTTTCTAGGAGAACTAAGAAGCAATAATATTCAATGACAGATGACAGAGGACATGCCTTTAAATTAAATTTTTAACATGATTTTACAATATAGGAAGGTTTTATTTCTTTAGTAGTCATTCCAGAGTTAGCACTTATGTAAGGGGTTTGGTAGAAAATTAATGCACATTTTAAACAACAACAACAACACCAAATGATCTATCTGAAAATACATTCTGCTTTTTTCCCCCTCCCTGCACATGTGTTAACTTACTGTGGTAATGCAATTTATATTCCTAGAGGAAGGAAAGATTTCAACAACCAATATCTAATAGTCTGGAAATTTTGCCCACAACCTTTAAAATGATCTACTTGCTTGTATTACAAATATCTTCATCGGGGTCAGGCTTATTTACTACTGCGCCTGTTTGTTTTGGGTTATGGTTTGTGCATTCACTGATGAAAATGCTTTCAGTCAAAGTAGTGAATTCAAAATACAGCAACTCAATAAAAACTTTAATTAATCAGGACATGAGCAAAGTGTATAAACCTGTCACATACTGAAGAAAGTATAAAATATTCTAATTGAAAGTGTCATCTTATTGGTGAAATACTTGCACTCTCTTTTACCATGTTCTATTACAGTTGTCCTTTAACGCATGAGAAAATACCAAGGAAAAAATGGCTGGTAAAACTCAGGTTTATCAGAAAATAAAGCATATTAGTGCTAATTGATTATTTTTATAAATCACACATGTAAGATATTTGAAAGCAACCATGGCAGTGGCTCTGGACAAAAATCAATTCAAAGCTCATGTGCAGCATAAAATAGCTTAAGTCTGTTCAAATCACTTTTTCATACCTTAATTCAGGAATTAATTAGCAAAGATATAAAGAGTAAAAATTAAAAGTCAGGTGACACATAAATTCAAAATCTTCAAAAATTGGGCTTGTACCTTGAAACAGCTTTAAAATCTGTAATTAGAGCATTTAATGGCAACATTAAGGTCTTCATGAGGTTCCTGGCATATAGGGACTTCATGGGGAAGAAAAGCAATTCAATAATGAATTTGCATGGATGTCAAAAAATTTCACAAAGCAAAACCTGGTCCCATGATGCCATACAAAAATAGTTTGCATAATAATAATAATAATAAAGCAAGTAGCACAATTGACTGTGCTTACCTGTTTTTTGAGGCCCAATCACAAGGAATTTTGGTAAGTGGTCACAAGTTTTCTCCCTAGACCAGATGTCCTTATGTCGTTTATCATCACATGGATTCTGCAAAAAGGAAGAATAGTAAATCTTACTGAGTGTTGCAGGCCTGTCTCTATTCCCTAACAATCCTTCAAAAGGTGAGATCAAATTCTTGTCTGATCCCCTAGAGCCAGGCATTAGATCCTACTCTGGTTCTCTGATTTCTAAATTCTTTTCTTACAAAGGGATTGGCGTCTTCTGTCACCTCAAGCCTGCAGCTCAGCATCAGATAGTTCTACTGTCATCACCTGATGTTCGGCTGGGTACTAAGTCCTGAGATACTACTCTATTCAGGGGGTTTTGTTTTACAGCTGCCTATTAGAAACCTTAACTAGACTTTTGTCATAGTTTCACAGCTCATTTTCAATTCTAATGGAAACATCTAAATATTAGAGGCCAAATATAAATATTTTCAGTTGTTTCCCATTCAAAGGGATTTTCTTTGACAAAAATTTCTTGATAGTTCCAGTCAAATGAATTGTTTTTAATTACAATTCCTTTGACCATTTTGCTAATATCAAACTTCTCAGCATTCTATTCCAACACAGAATATGTTTATCCAATTAAAAACTGAAGATCTATCTAGAAATGCTTATTACAATTCAAGTTCCAAAGTTCAATTAAAGTATACAAAAATTAATCTCTATTCCATTTAAACTCTCAATAATTACTTTGCTAAATCTCCATCTACACTACTTGGAAATTTTGTTTTAAAAAGAAGAAAGTAAAAATCATTAAAGGAAGATATTACTTAAATATATATTTAAGTATTTTTTTTCCTTAAATAATTACTATCAATTTGTTTTTAGATGCCGTCTCACTATGTTGTCAAGACTAGCCTCAAACTCCTGGGCTCAAGTGATTCTCCTGCCTCAGCCCATTAAGTAAACAGGACTATCAGCATGTACCACCATGCCCAGCTCAAATTTTATTTTAACAATTTTTTTTAAAATGCTTGAGAAAAATTATTTTCCTCAATTAAAATTTTAGCATTTTTTTTTCAAAACTAGGGCTTTAAAATCAATTCTTCTTAGTATCATTATATAGCCTGAAAGGAACTGAAATATATTGACACTTGGCAAAACCTAACACTGGCCCATTATATTGATGACATGGTGTTAACTGGACAACTGGCAAGCATTCTGGCTGCCTACAGTTCAGAGGATGGAAAACAATCATAAAATTTTTGAAGTCTACTACCTTTGAAGTTCCTAGAGGTGTGGGCATCTGGAACTCACTTGGACATCTTGTCCATAACAAAGGGTGAGTTATTGTACTGTGTGATTTTTAAAAAATATATTTTTAGTTGTAGATGGTCATATTTATTTGTTTGTTTGTTTAATGTGTTTCAGAGATTTGAACCCAGTGCCTAACACATGCTAGGCAAGTGCTCTACCACTGAGATACAACTCCAGCTTTACTTTATGATTCTTATTGCTAAGAAGGAAGCACAGTGCTTGATAGACTTCGTTGGGCTTTGCAGGCCAAAGTATTGCTCGGAAACAATTATCGCTTGTTATGAAACATTTTGAATGGGGCCCAGAGTAAGGAACGGGTTTGCAGGGTAAAGCTGAGGTAAAAACCACCATTACATTTGGCCCATATATCCTGGCAGACTTTGATACACTATGGCATCTGTGTCAAGTGGAGTTTCTGGAAAGCCATTGAATAAAAACCCAATGTACACACCTAAGGTTCTATAATAAGGTACACCCTCTAAAGAAAATAATCCAAACAACAGTTTCTGATTTTATGTTGGACTCCAGAAGACAATGTTTATCTTTGGTCATTCATGTGATCATGTTGTCATATCTATTGATCATTAACTGGTACTGACAAATCCACCAAATAAGTTCAGGTGTGTCCAGTAACAATTTGTTGTACAATGAGAGTGGTACATCTGGGATTGGCCTCATGCTGAGAGCTTATAAATAAGTGTCTCCTGTCCCTATGTCACTGGACACGGTTCCACTGATACCTTTCCATCTGCTTATTTATGTAGTTTCATGATAGGTTTTCTTCTAGGTAACAAAGAGGGAAAAATCCAAGCGTGGATCATGAAAGGGTTGACTCATGTATTGGTAGAAGCCTGTGAACTCCTGATACATTGTAGCCCTCTTTAGGGAAGGGGGTCCTGAAAACATTGGCTAATGCCTCCAATTGGCAGAATTTTGGACAATGTACTTGTCATCTATTATTTTTGTATGTGGATAAAGTAGTAAGCAGCCAAAGGTAAGGATGTGACAGACTATTCAGCAGTGATGAACAGCATAGGACAAGTTGGCCATACAACTTGAAATAACAGCCTAGGAAGATTATGGTTTGTAACTGCTAAGGAAGAGGCATGTGAATATAGCTATGATCCAGAGTGAGCAAAGAGAATTTGCATTGTATTTTAATGTACAATCAGAGAGTATCCAATGTAGAAGAGATGCTAAACAACCAAATGGACAGTATGATCCAGCCAGTTCCAGGTATTACCAGATGTTACCAAACCTTTCTTCTCACTACCCCACTGCTGATGCGTAGGGCTCACGAATGCAGTAGCCATAGGAACAAAATGGAAGCATGCATGGGCCTTTTCTCCTCTAGTCTGTTCAATTTACTGTTGCTGCTGAATATCTGACCTGACAGTAACAGAAATCATTTGTAAATCCCAGAAATAGCATTTTCTTGTCACTTAGTGTGAAATTGATTATATTGGACACTTCCATCCTGAAAAGGGCAGTGATTCATCCAGATCAGTCCTGACATATATTGAAAATATTCATTTACCTTCTCTGCCCACATAGTCTTGGCCATCACAGAGTGACTCATTGACATGTTACTGCATATAATATATATTTTTTTAGATAAAAGGAGCCACTTTCTGGTAAAGGAAGTGTGGTAATGAACATATGACCATGAGAGTCACTGGTCCTTCAACTTATCCCACTATCTAGTGAAAAGACCTATTGCAAGATGAAATTGAGGCTCCTGCTTGAAGATATAGTGGACTCTTTAAATAGAAAGCTAGTACCTGGTGCCATGTCTCCAAAGTATAGTATAGTTAAGTTCAGGAATGAAGGAATGGATATAGGAGCAGACCTATTCACCGTCAATCTCATTCTGTAGTTTCATTTCCATGACTTCATGTTCTGTGTGTCTTGGAGTTCTAGTTCCTGAGGAGGAAAACTCCCACCAGGGGGCTGGTAGGAGTATGACCAGACTGGAATGTGTAATTTCTGCCTGGTCACTTTGGACATCTTGTGCCAGTAGTCTAGCAGACAGAAATGAATCATCCTCCTGGAGATGATTAAGCTGGATCATCATGAGGAATCAGTGTAGCTACCACACAGTGGGAATAGGAGAATTGTGTTTAGCACTCAAATAATCCACTAGGATGCTCAATATGTCCGCACCTGGTTTGGTTGTAAATGGGAAAGTACAGCAACCGTTGTCTGACAAATGCTGGGTGACAACCAGAACAGAGTCACCACAGTGAGCTCCTTGCTTCACAACTTAAGTTATTATTATTGAAGCACACCTTTTCTTTGTCATATCTTGGGGCAATTTGTAAGAGGTGAGTTAGTGGAACAAACTACAGCTACGGGGACTGATTTGGTTCTGAGACTAGCCGAGTCCACAGTCACAGCTTCTAGAAACAGCATGAGCCAAGGGAGAGGGAAATCCAGAAGAGGGGACAAGGTGGGAGAAAATTTGCTTTCAGTTTGAGGACTAAATGCAGCAAGGCAGTTATACTTTCTCATAATAACTCTTTTCCTTTAAGTTTCTCCAGGGGTTATGTTCATAGAATCTTAGAAAAATTTGGGGGACTACCCATAATAAAAAACCAAGTGGAGCTGAACAGGAACTAGGAGTATACTATGGTGGATGTTCTTTTCTACAGTAAAAATATCTTTTTTTGTGTGTGTGTGCAACTTTACCCTATCTGCCCCCTCCCAACCCCTCAACAGCTAATGGCCTTCAGTGGGGCAGATTGAGAATGATCCTGGGCTTGTGGATAAGAGCCTTATGACAGACCCTCCCCACTCTCAAGGGGTGGCTGATGCAAAGGTACAAGAGACAGACCTGCTGGTCTTGAGGTGAAGCAATTGTGTGACTAACTGTCCCTGAAGACCAAGTCAAGGTGATACTTTGCCAAGAACACATCTTCACCCAGGGTTTTCCCTTTATTTGTTCAATCACACAACTTCCTTATAGTTTTTTCCTGAAAACATTTCTTCAATAAATCATTTACAGCTGAATCCTTCTCTCAGCTTCTGCTTCTAAAGAACACTACTTACGGGCAGTGACCATTCACATTCTATGAAATTAAAAGATGCACTTGATACAAATGTGTTTTCTATCCTCAACTCCCACTGGAATAAGCATAAAGCACAGAATAAAAAGGCTAGCAATGTATACATACAGACAGCTGCATTATGTTAGAATTTACTTTGGAAAAGATTTTATATATCTTGGATTTTTAAAAATTTGTCTTAAGAAAGGACAACAAAATTAGTTAATTAATTAATTAATTAATTGAATACTGTATTTCAACAGAAATATTTTATACTCTATTAAATAATAAATTTAGTATTCAGTACTCATTTTTAAATCCTGCATAGTCCTGCTTTAGTTTAACTCTCTAACCATGTTTTCTACTGTTACAAGAAGACTAAACAATTCTCCTTTCCTTTAGCTAATATTGGAACATCCATATTTTGCTTAGTATATAGGTTTCTAGCAAGGGACCACGCTTCACAATCTCTCTTGACTTTAGTTTTCTTTAAATGGATAATTGCAGTTCATTGGAAAGAAGTCAAAATAATGTAAAGTATTCTCTTAAGGTAAAGCCACTCTCCCTGGGTCTCCCCTGTCCCACTTACTGCCATCTGTGACATGGCTACAATTGCAGCCTGTGCCTTGAACTCAGGTGGAAGCCATATATTGAAGAACTTGTTGGCCTGGGGACTGTGGCACAGAGTTGTCTGTCTCCTAGATTGCCTGTCCACTTTGGGGGCAGTTATGTGAGTGAGACA